TGAGAATAGGGTGATTACGTTGGTATGATCGTCGATCCTTTGACGAAATTTTCTTTGTTCTTTGTTCCTGGGAGGGTAAGGTACGTAGATTTCGCTTGCAAAGTGGATACGATGATGATGTACGATGCCTTTCGCCGCTTAGTAAGGTCCTTTGAAGGTGTTTATCTTTTGTTACGTGCGAGCTTCCGACGATCGTTATCGTAGACTTTACAAGAGTTCTTCTTGCGTTTGGTGTTACTTCGCGAATATATATAGCTGCACTGACCTACGTTCTTTCCGTCGACTTGTAACTTCTATAACTTGTATGTATGTCAATCACAATCACATAACGTTCCACGCGTTCTCTTATCACCATCCTAGCCGATTCACACGACTTACCTTCACATTCGTCAAGCTCATCACCATGGAGAACATCGCTCTTCCTACCCGTCCCCCCTCCATGTTTTATGGCCCTCACGTCGCTCAATACAGTCCTTACCAGGACCCTACTTCCCCCGGCGTCTACCACTACGACGAGAACGGCAATGCGTACACGGTCGCAAGAGATCACCGCGTTGTTTGGGCGCCCGAACACAATGTCGAATTGTATCCAGAGATGTGCGCGTTCGACGAGCCACCTCCTCCCGGGATGCTACGAGGCATATTCCCGCCTCGCTCGCCCATCTTCGAGGCGAATAGGCTTAACAACCAGCCTTGTCTCGAGTGGAATTGGAAAGCGATCAATGAGACAGGCCTCGGATTACAATGGAACTGGAAGCTCGGCATGCATCGTCTCCCGCCCGGGTACACTCCGCAGGACCTCACGCGGGAATTATTCATGTCCCCCGACATCCCGTTCAAATATCCTTTGGTCGAAAGGTGTAACGACGGCTTTACTCAGTTCCGAGTGCACGTGAGTTTTAACAGCGGGAATTGCACCGAAGTCATATTGATCTGATCTATTCCGTTGTTGATTCCGTTGTCGGTAGGACATCATCATGATGGCTCATGATGACGCCAGGACCGAGATCCTTGCGACCGGCGGTATGGTCACGCTCGCCGCCAGCAATGAAGATCGCATGTACGAGATCTACGCGTTCGGCCAAGGACTGTTTCACTGCATGTCGATGCTACGCTTGTGCAAGGAGCACACTCCTCGAAGTTGGTTCCCGCTTTGTGCCGGTTTGTACCGGATCAACATCATATACAAACGATGGGAGAAACTTTGGCGGATGACCAGAGAACAGTCGGCGAAAAAACTTCCCGCCTTCTCGGCGGAGACTCTGGCGACGTTCCGAGAAGAATCGACTCGAGCGAACAAGATGTGTCGATGTCTACACAACGGTCTCATGGGCGAGTGCAGCTAGACCGGTGAGTATACGCTACGTATGTCTCCCAAATTTGTTTCCCGCCGATCAGAACCGTATTCATCTTTTGATATTCAGGTCCATCATAAAGGTATATTAATTTATACTATCATAATCAACATATGTCGTCGCGCCATTTTCCGCCTCTACGCCGTGCTCCTGGTCTATATACTCCAAGACCGATAGATATTTAGGGAGTTCAAATATAATTGTGATGGTTGTGCCGATGTTCAAGTGGCAATGATATATACGATTCGCCATTCGAAGCCACCACGCAATGATGATCCGTACGATGACTTACCCAAGGAGATAAAACACTGAGAAGCCATTGTTCCCGTCTCACATCAGATCGTGAGTCTTCTATTCCCGCCTCATAACCCGATGTCCACGATGTTCCCGCCGACAAGTCATCACTGAAATAGCGCTGTAAGCGCTGAGCCAAAGCTCGCCAAAAGCGAGGCTATCGTTCTGCTTCTGAACTGGCCGCTCTGTGATGTTTCGATAAATCGAAACATCACAGAGCGGCCAGTGCATCAGCAGAACGATAGCCTCGCTTTTGGCTCGCCCTTCATGAGCCGATTCAGAGGTTCGTACTTCCAATCAATGTCGTGTTTCAGATGGGGCGTAATGGATGCGCATTCACTGCCGCTAATTCAGCGCTTTGTCAACATGCATGTTGTGCGCTTCAATAGCGCAACGGTCGCGCCGTGTCCCTTTTTTTTTTGGGAGGATGGTGGCTTGCGATCCAGAGTTCGCTCCCCGCGCCATCCATTTCTTGCACGATTTTTGCGGCGGGAATCGTGCTGACCGGCGGGAAGTGTCAAATATCGCACGACAGGGATTATACATATTACGCTGAACATTTACATTTTGAAACGAAAAAGGACAGTGTGTACTACTCAAGCGCTCCGCTCAAACGTGGTCATGTCGTAGATCAGCAACAAGTCTGTCGAATGTTTCCTGCGAATAGGTCGGGGCGGTGGTCCCGAAGACCCGCTTCTGAGCTTTCTGAGAGGTTCCCCGGACTGCCAGCTGTCCAAGAATTTCCTTCATGTGGGTCCGGTCTGGTTCCTGATAATCTTTAAGAGGACACAGACGCAGCTTCCCTTTGACATAGGCACTACCCAAGGCTTCGACCTAGTCGTCAATAACCATCAGTTCCTCAAAACCATCCCAACTCGGCCCAGCTGTCTCCACATACCTCGGCCCTGTGAGTCTTTCGTACTCCGTCCCACTGAAAGTCAAGCTTTACACCCTCCCACCAGAGCTCCTGCGCATAACACAGTAGATGCATAGTAGCCCATGGCACTTGCGACACCTGCTTATCCAGGGGCAAGTGTTGGTTCAGCATAGTCTTGATCTCCTCAGTGAGTCGATTTCTCTGCTCTGGCATCGACAGGCTAGTATGATGACGCTCAAGGGACGTTGAGCTTGAAGTTCCCGCAGAACCACTGGCCGAGATCTGCTCATCGTCTGAAAAGTAGGTGACGTGAATTTCTCGGTCATAAACAATAGTGGTACTGACGAACACACCACTTACACCTGCGAGCTCTAGCCTCTCGGATTGAAGCTTGAATCGTCCGTAACACCCCATAGCTGCGAGCTTGATCGCTTCCCACAACGCCCCAGCGCTTGGACAACACCGATTCCAAGTAAGGGCTTTGAACCGTACATTGAGGAACAAGCGGATGGTCAGGATCAACCGGCATGATGATAAGACAGCTGGCGATGTCGTGAATTTCGTGCAGTCGACCAAGCTGTGATTATGGTAAAGACGATTCCCGCCGCTCTTAGCTGATAGTTGCCGGTTGGTGGACGATAGTGAAGGTATTTACCTGAATGCCAATAGCCTGAAATGCATCGAGGGCGCGCTTGGCTGCAAATCGTCGTGCGTCCGTAGTCCTTGGGGGAGGGGGTGGGTTTTTAGGTTGGCGGTGCGTGCGACGAGTCTCCAACTCTTGGCGAACCCGTTCGATATGCGCCTCAGGCCAATGATTTTGCTGCCTCCTTTTTTTGGCTTCGGTGATGGTCGCAGCGAATAATTCCCGCGCGGATTTCGTTGGGTTTGTGACCTCTTGAGAATTGGCATCGGAATGGAGTGCAGCAGAATTCTCTGGCGAATGGTTACGCGGTGTGAGCAAAGGTACCATGGAAAGGTAGGGACTATCTAACAAAGTTGGATAGCACTCACTAAGCTCTTCTCTAGTCAGATGTACGATTGCCTGCCAAGTAGTCAGTTGACGACTCTTCTTTTCTTTGTGAGTGACGTCGAGTACCGAATGGAGCAACGTCTGAGGTTTGACATTGAGCTTGGGAGCGTATTCAGCGCATTGAGCCCGGAGGGAATCCAGGATGTCTTGCACAGCCAGATTGTAGTTTAATCGTGACACGAATTTAGGGGGGGCGGTACGAACATCCAGCTGTTCACCGTGTGTCGGTATGGGTGGGTCATCTTCAAGACGTTCGGCGATCTCGAGCTCTCGGTAAAAATCTTGATCGTCGTAGTCCATAGTGAAATGATGAAGTGAGGTATGAAATGGAGTGTATATGCTATATATTTGAACTTCGTAAGGAACAGACAGGATGGATCCGTGTTGTGTGTCCACGATATGTATTGGTAAGTGTGACAGATGTTGCACGTTGTAGAGCTGTAATAATGTTGTGCTCGTATGAAGAGTATACTAGCTGGTAGCTGAGTCATGAGTCACCAGAGTCCAGTCTACAGTAATAATACAGTAGATGAACGGCGAGAAATAGTCCGTGTGAGTGTGCGGGAAAGGTAAAGCCAGCGGGAATCGAGGAGCGACTAGCGTTGCCTTAAAAAACAGCAGCTCTCTCTCACGCGCAAGTGGCCAACAAAGACTTGAAAGGAGCTAAGGAGGTGACATTCAAAACAAAAGAAAGTATAGCCGTAACAACGAAACACAGTGCACAAGACATCTAGTACAACAAGGAGTAATCTTAGCAAGCCGTAACTGATCAGCGAAACTGCAGTGCATACCAGAAAGAAGAACAAAGAAGGACAGTCGGTCTTAACTCAGCTTGGAGTGTATATAAGAACGCTGACTGAACGTTGGCGCTCGTGTTTCGTACCACCGACCTTCTTCTTTCCCGCATCCCATTTTCTCATCGTTCTATAGCATATCTGCAACATCTGCTCTCGCCTCTATCAAATATCACATACTACGATGTCGGACGAAGCTTCTAATGCGCAAGGGATAAGCCAGCCGCTCTTGGTGCCGGAAGACCTCGCACGTTGACCAAAAAGCAAAAGAAGAAGCTTGCCGGAGAGAAACTGAACGAAGGTAACAGGAAGCGGAAGCTTGAAGCTGAGGAACGGGAAAGACTGGTGAGTTCAGTAGTCTGAATGTGCTTGGTGTCTGATATACCCTAATTGTGAGTGATGGGAACAATGGGATCTATGGCGCAAAAGAGCCAGGTCTGGTTCGGAAAAGAGGGAGCTCGACGCCACGTAAAAAGACATCGACTTTGAGTCGCGTTGCCTGTAAGTACCTCGCCATAGGTCGATCAAGATTGCGTGAAAGAGGCTGGACTGACCGCACTACTTTTCTTTCACCTACCGTTGTGTTCGCCAAACGGCCACCTTTCCAAGAATCCTCTCGGTCCGAAAAAACCCCGTACCTCTCCCTGCAAATGCTCTCCCCCTACCAACTCTCCCCGTCTCAATGTTGCGTCTTCTTCGGCCTGTCCACAATGGATTCATGGACGAACTTGATACATCCGATACTGGACCTGCGTGTACGTCAGCGGGAATTATCAGAAGAGAGACGCCAAGTTCGGGAAGAAGAAGAGCTGGCGAAGAGCTGGCAAGGATTGTGGAGCAACGAGAGTTATCCGCGATGGTGGAAGAGGGCCGGTTGGACAGAGAATTTTCGGAGGAGGAGGCAATGCGATGTGAGCAAGAGATTAGAAGGCAGGAGGAGGAGGAGAGAGGAGAAGGAGGAGAAGGAGAAGGAGGAGAAGAAGGAGAAGGAGGAGAGGAGAAGAAGGAGAAGGAGGAGGAGGAGAAGAAGGAGAAGGAGGACGAGGAGAAGAAGGAGAAGGAGAGGAGAGAAGAAGGAGAAGGAGGACGAGGAGAAGGAGAAGAGGACGAGGAAAAACGAAATTGGGAGAGACTCTGAGACAGGCGATGCTCGACAAAGATCGCATGGACCGGGAGGCTGCGTCTCGAGCGAAGAATGTGGAGGATAACGACAACGACAAGTCGAATCGCCAGTCAGCGCAGAAAGACGGGGACGAGGACAATGGTGCAGAGAAGCAAAAAGAAGGCGAAGAAGAGCAACGGGGTGAAGCGGAGGAGAAGATGAATAAAGAGGCGGGAATTGGGTACAAGAGAGTAAGTGATTTAGTCATACAGCAGATGTTTCGAGCGGGAATGATCAAAAGCTGACTATGAATTTGTGGTAACAGCGATTTGATCTCCTGGATTCGGAAACAGGTCCTTTCCCCTCGGTATCTTGGCCTGTCCCGAATATCAAGCTGGAACGACCGCAACAAGTCCGCAACTCCCTAAAGCAGTTCCGATCGACAAGGAAGCTTTGAAGGATACATTCTCGAAGTTTGCTGAATGGGAACAACGGTCACAAGGGACCGGTCCAAAACAAAATTCCCGCAAGAGGGGATTAGACATCGTTACAGATGTGGCCGAAGACGTCTGGGATGGTGCCAGAAAACGGCGAGGCAGAACTCCGAGAGATTTTGGGGACATGGACAAGGGGGATGATGACGGGCCGCGGAAGAAGCAAAAGACTGGTGAAGCGGCCTCTCTCAAACCTTCTCGCCATGAGAAAAAGGACTTCCTCGGCCAAGTCATTTACGGGATCGGACGGAACTTGCGGAGTCCGATTTATCGTGCGGGTTCCCGCTGGCAAGAACCGTTTCCAACCGGACGGTTCAAAAATCCAGATGGACTGGTACGAGCTTTGGACATCGCGATGAAGGGTGTCCGGCGCAACCCGGCTCACAGTGTGGAGTCATGGAAAGAGCACGTTGAAAGGGAAGTTCAACTTCTTGGGGAAGGCTGGAACGCGTCCGAGTGGACGAAGGTCATGGAAATCGGGACCGACGATGGGAAGACACAGCCGGAACGCTTGTGCGCTTTCTTTGAGTTTGCTTGGGACTCTGGAGCTTACGGGAAAGCTTTCAACGAGTGTCATTCTCCTGCACGAGCACAAGCATACGGTATACTGGCTCAAGCAGTCGAGGCTCGCGAGGAAAGGTGGCAGGGGATATCGAAGCGGGAAATCATCCGCAAGATAAATTCTCTGGGAAAAGATGGATACAATGTCCTGACAAAAGAGCTTGAGAGGAGATGGGACGAGATCATCGACATGAGGAGCGAGCAGCGGATGCGTCACGCGTTGTTGGGAGATACCTTCAGAGATTTCAGAGCTGTCTCTGAGATCGATGGCCGGCCGCATGAATGCGACACTCCCGACAAGAAGCAGCTGTGGGACGTCGGTCGGAGGTATCTGACGAAGGCGACTGCAATGCGGGAAGCACTTGGAAACGTGGTACGAGGTTGCGGATGGCAAGATGGGGTGTATGGGGCGGGAATGGATGAAAGGTGCCACTCCTGCTTTCATTGCTGTGGTCGGGGGGATATTCGAGGTCTTCGCCAATCGTCCGGATTTCAAGTCGACCAGTTCCTTGGCCGGCGAGATACATTACCTCCGACGACTGTGGGTGAAGGACGGTTCTACGAGAGCGAGTGGGTTCCCATCCTGGATATGCTGCGACGCACCGATGGTGTTTTGCTACAAGCAACCTGGGCGCCTTTGCAAAAAGTTGTTTCACTCCCGGAGGCTCGACATCGTTGGGCTGATATCAGCAGCCGCGCGCGTGAGCTCTGGCGGGAACACGGCACACAGTCGGTATGCCAATTGCGATCGACCTGAGCCTTGCGGAGCTCGAAATGCGGGAGCACGATCTGCACTCCAAGCATTGGGTAAAAGGCCAATGATTGCAGGGAGCCGGTGGACCCTACGCGCCCAGGTGGAAGACACGATCGGGCTATTCCCGCATACGGAGACTTGGGCGGTTACTTTGCCGACGTCCACAATCTCAAGCTCGGAAGGATGGACGGTGTCTCGTTCCGAGAACGTTGGGAGTTGCGGGAAAATGTGTGGAGCAAGGTGTTGGGACGGCTTGCTCCT